GTTGAGGATTTTATGCAAATCGCAGTCCAGCAAAAGATATTGTGTAACTGTACATTCGGAAAACAAAATACTTCATGCAATTCATGACGAACTGCATGCATCCTGCCTATTTAGTTTAACTGATAAGGTTTTATGACACGAAAATTCAAAATGATCGAACTAATCTTTCGTGTCATGCCGTGTAAGACAACGTGATCTCTATAAGGACACTATCTGATGACCATAATCATATATATATATATATATATATATATATATATATAGGTAATACATTTGCTCAAGTGATGGGAAAGTGGGCTTGCTTTATTGACGGTTGGCAACATCGCTAGCAGAGAAATGGTACCATAAAATGGAAGCAATGGATCCAGAGAAGAATTGTGGAGATTTGAACAGCTTTTAAACCGCACATCAGAGCAACTTACTTGCTTTTCCGCTCCAACTTTTTGGATATATACTGCAATATCTGTAATTCTTCAGAACAAGCTGAAATTAGCAATCATTACCTCCGAAAGAATGTGAGAGCACACAGAGAAGAGATATAATACTCACAGAATTCTGTGAAATATGCCCTTCAATGATATTCGACGGTCTTAGAACGTTGCTTGCTTTCATTTAGAAGTCTGAATCGATTATCAAAGACTGGATCATCTCAACTCCCCTTCCTATGTGTACACGAGAGATATCTATAGAGAAGCTGGGCTTACGCACATGAGTCCACACGTTTATGAAGCTACACCGAAATGGTAGAGACATCCAAGCGTAGCAACAAATAAGTCGATCCTTTCCGGAAAACCTTAGGGTATCACTACTACAGCTTGTTTTAGAAAAATCCCCGAGGCCATTCATTCAGCCAATAGAACCTGACTGTGAAATATTAGACCAGTTTACGAGAAGGATTCGACAGGGGATTCTTGGAGGTGGTACACTGACAACTTTGCTGACAGAGCAATGCGAACTAGATCCAAGGACCGTACTCGATCGCAGGTAAGCTCTGACAGGCATACGGCAGAATTAGAATCCATGGATCATATCTAGGCACTCGTGAACGTTCCCAAAATTAACCAACCTGTCCTCTCCTGTATTAACAGCTGGGCACAAGTCACCGTACTGCAGTTTGAAAAATCGTCTCGGCAGTGATGCACACCTAACGAACTAAAACATCGAAATATATGATGCAATAACCATGATAAAAAAGTACTAAAGATTCCACCGACAAACAAAAACAATGTAAGAAAAAATTTAAAAAAATGGAGTCTCGTCTCATTTTGTTAAACAAACATGGACGAATACCTATAAATTGAACCCAAAACACTGAACCCGAGGCAACGAACCATAAACCCTAAGATTACAAACGAGTCTATAACCTGTGTCAAGCCATGCGTGAAATTTGCGGAATACACCACAGATATATGTGGACAGGTAAAAATAGTTATCGCAGTTACCTCGCATTGTTCCTCCACGGCTCTCGGAATGGAGAATAAGCTTATAAGAATAGTATGGAACTACTCACAAGTAGGCAAAGAATAATAATAACAATAGTCCATAGTGGAGGGCAAACGAGGTATCGTGACAGTGATTAGTATGAAACATGTCGAACCCTGTGAAAAAGAAGGATTATTTCGTGTTTTTCGAGAACTCATCAGTAGTGTATGTTTCATTCTCTCAACGTGCCTGTCATTGGACCTTGAAACCTCGACCTCAGTAGTGGTCGGTTGGCCTAAAGGGATGGTACCATATTGGTGTTAGCTCTTTCGAATTGATATAAATCAAAGAAATTCTTATGAATCTGTCTGTCGCTTGCTGATAATGATTACATCAACCGATGAATGGATGGTACAGATGAACCGCCAATTCTATTTTGTCCGTGTGATCCACCGACGACGAGCAACCCAATCGCCAACGTTTTGATAACACATTCTTCTCTTGAGCACGGGTAAAATTAACCGAAAACAAAATTTCCGTTTTACAGCTTGGATAATCTATAATAATCAGGTCTACTATCACGTTAAAGCATTCATGTTTGCCACCATCCATCTCGTAGTCGAGCGATAACTGCGTCCATTTACAGATGGCCCAAATTAGGCAATAGGACAAAATGACTCTGTGCAAACAAACAGCACTCCTAATGGTTGGCTAAGTCGTTGGTTTGAGAGGTTGATATCACGTTGATAATCACCCATCCCATCATCGGGTGGTGTTTAAAGTGCTCGTCAAATCAACTTGTTGAAGTGTAAGACAATAATTAACTAATTGGGAATAAAATTGTCATGGAAAAATAAAACAAAATAAAAACACAGATTACTAAAAACAATTTCATCGTGAGACCGGAAATCGGGTTCACCACGATCACTCATCCGATCTTCGAGATTAATCACGACGCGGTTTGTGTGGGGGTGGGCCAGGGAAGCT